CGGCTGCATCTCCGGAGGCAACTACCTCCGGGTCGCTGGGTTTTGAGCCGGCATACACTGGTGGTCTGTGTATGCCGGCGTGGTGTCTTCTTGTTGTGGCCTCTTCTTCCTTCTTGTATATTGTATATTTTTTTTTTTTTTTTTTTTTTTTTTTTTTAAAAAAAAATTTTTTTTTTTTTTAATATTTTTTTTTTTTTTTTTTTTTTTTTTTTTTTTTTAATAATATATAATTTTTTTTTTTTTTTTTAATATTTAATATTCTCCCCTCTCGCCCGTTCCCAGATATATATAATAATGGTGTTAGTAATAGATAAGTTGTGTTAGTAAGGGTCGACACAAGAAGTGTGTCGGCCCCCCCCCGCTTGGACGCGGGGGATATAATTACACACTTGGAACGGGCGAGAGGAGGGAATGAGAAAGAAGAAGGGAAATTAAGTCGTCATACTGGTAGACGAGGCAATCACGATCACTATTCGCCTGTGCACAGGAGGTCCCTAGGCGTGGGACGGCCGTCCGGTGGACGCGCATGCAGCGGCGCGAGGCCCCTCAAGTGTTGATGGTGTCCGCCGTCGGCACGGGCGAACATTTTGCTCGCCATGTCGACAACGAACTCCTCCACCGTTGGGACCCCTAAGCCGCGGGCGATAACGTCGTTACGGACGTATCTGCCCGCTCCCGTGCACAAGCGGAGAGCGATGTTTTGCTGGGCCTGCAGCCGGCGCCTAAGCGTCGGAGAGCACAGTGCATACCAAGCGGGTGCGGCATATGTTAACCGTGAACGGACGTAGGTCTTGTAGATAGAGAGGCGTTTGCTTGTTATTGTGTTGAGAACCCGCAGTAAATTCGCAGTGCTGTAATGCTATTCGATCGATTTACTGTCATGTTATTTCATGCCAATAGATGGCGTTTTATTATATCACTTGATTTATAGTTTATCACAAAAAGCAATTAGTTTTTAATTATAATTATATACGATAATTGAGTAAAATACAGAAGCAGTAAGAAATGTTATGAAAAAAAGACGGGTTCTCGATTTCGATATGTGGAATATATTTCTAAAGCCAATCCATCCAATTACATCACCAGAAATATAGCTAAGTTTGAAAACAAGAATAAGATAAATCTATTAGTGATGTGCCAGATATCTGTATCCGTATCCGCGGATATCTGAGAGAAAAAGATCTGTATACGAATTCGTTATATTTTGACAAATCTTGAACAGATCTTTTATTTTATTAAATGTCACTGTGTGTATGAAATTCTAAATTATTTACTGTCTTAAAATATCTTCATAATTACACTTAAATTTATTGTAGATATTGTTTTACTTAATGTAATACTATTATTCTAAACATACAAAAGGAATCTATGCTGTTATCCTAAATTATAAACAAAACTAAAAACTCGCACAATGCAAGTCGAATGGTCATGTTACTAACGCAAAGCGTTAATTTTTTTTTTTTTAAATGTTGAGAGATTTTTAGTAACAGGAGTTAGCGGGCCTATTGCTTAATCTCCACACAGCCCCTCTTAGAAACCATCATAGTTAATTTTTGCCGAACTCATCACGATGGGCCAAAACTGCTCTCATGTTCGTTTACTATCCCCCATTGGTGCCTTGCCAATATATACCGATAGCGCAGAGGAGGTTACTATTCCATTTTCATCAAATAAAAATAGTGTCTGACACCAACTGAGTAAACAAACAGAGATTCGTATTCATATCCGCGGAACTAGATACTAATTATCGGTATCTGTATCCGCCCAACATATACGAGTACATTTTTATCGATCTGGCATATCATAAAAATCTAATATAATAAGTACACTTTATTTACCAAAATTACACAAAAAACAATTTAAGAAGTTAGTGTAGACTGTAGCGCATCGACAAAATTAAACAGAAGGGTCTGTTCCTTATTATGTTTTAAAATTGTACGTATGCATTTGATTAATTTTAACCCTTACAGGTTGTAAGAAATATTAGAATGAAAATACGAATAAAATGAAGGAAAATCAACAACGTTACGTTTACATTAGGTTTTTGAAATTATTGTCTCAGTTTTTCAATTTAAAAAATATTAATTAGTTCAAACACACAAAAAAACAACAAAGTACTGGCTATAGTGTATTGTTAAATTTACGGATATTTACTACATGCTGTTCCCTGCGGCTTCGCTCGCGCGTAAATATAAGTAAATGATAAATTTTTGTGTGAAGTTAAGATTGTCAGAGTGAGAAGTATGAAATTCCATTCTAGTTGCAAAGAAGTTTATTATGGCGTTTTTGTTTTTCTTTTTGCACACCTTTATATATTTATACATAATATGATGATGAACCTCATCATCATTAATTCTCTAAAGAAATGCGTTTTACTTCACAATGGTAGTCAAGTTTATTTAAATAAACGTCTCTCTAGGGGATGATATTGAGACATTTTGTATTTTATTATTTGCACCTAGAAGCATATATCTTTTAAGCGAATCATCATCATCATCATTATTATATGAACCATTATCTGTCCACTGCGAATAATGAATATGCTCATACAAGTGCCCTTCAAAAAAAAAAAGTCACACGTTTCACACCTGAGGGGTAGAATATAAAAAAAAAATTAAAATACATGTTTATTAGTTTAATTATCATTATTATCATATTTGCCTTTAACTGTTCACTGCTGAACATAAGCCTCCTCTTGGTTTGGGGGGGTTTGTCAGTAGTTGCCAGATTGAAACCATTAAGATTATGTATTGAAACCAACCGCAACTTTAAGGCGAATTTATATTAAGTTTAGTCTGATACTTTTTCTATACCCTTGAAGTCATGAACTTGTTTATTGATTTTCCTGTAATATTTGTCTCAGATCCTCTACTATGTTTTAAAGGGTAGCTGCAATATGTTATTGAAGTCAAATGATTAACAGATTTTAAAAAGGAAGATGCTTTTAATTTTGCTATTAATATTGTATTTTTTTCATTGTATGTTACGATACGCAATAATAAATCTTCAGTACCAAGTATATTCACCGCGGAATCGATTTTGATGATTGTTTTAATCGTATTGATTGACAAAATGTCCACGAAAGACGTCTTGAAATTTCTACTTCAAGAAGTATTTTTTTTAATAATAATAGCAGTAAAGATTTTACCAATATATGACTATTTGAAATTTCTTCTTTATCTTGTTAGCCCAGTTTGCTTAGGGTCTGCCCTTCTAGTAGTCCTGCGCTACACCGTACGGTTATGGGTTGTCTGTTCGCCCGCCTTTGCATATTTCATGTCGTTGTTTATTGTTCGCAACAAGGCCATTGGTGGTCGACCACGGCACCTATATTCTTCTTACATTGCTATCACCTTTTTAGTCACATTGTCATCATATGATTAAACGATACGGAATAAATATTGTTGTTATAAAAATCTAGATAACAGTCACTAACTAATCTTGAACTCTCGTACCACTTGATGTATGAAGTACAATGTAAACTGTAATAGGTAGATCACTTATGGGATAGAGACGATCACTATAAGATCTTTTTGTCAGGAATGGACGATAATACGAATAGCTTCCCGCCGGTGAAGCCACGGGAAATGTGCAATAAAGTAGATAGATACCTGTTATATGTATGACCACAGTAGTGCTAGATATTAAATATTCATCACACATCGATTAGTAACTGGCATAGTTTATTGAAATAACAGTCACCTAAATTAAATGTTTAAAGTTCATGTATACATAATTATGTCCATTGCATATGCTAGTGGTGCGACCTGAAAATCGAGTTTTACTTACTTTCTACAATCTGACCTGTTCAGTTTAACACTAAAATGTATATGACAAAGAAATACCTTTATTGGCAATAAATGTAATAATATATTACGTAAGTTATTGTTTACTTAAATACATACAAATGAGTGAATATATTTTTATTGTTGCAACATTATTTTTATTTTAATCATAATCTGTAACAAATTAAAGAATAATAAAAATTCTGAGAATGAAACATTAATATCTAAAACAAAATAAAAATATAGAATTCACTATTTTGGAATTCATGAAGCATTTACCGTGTAGCAGCGCATAATGCACCGGAGGGTGCAGAGACGGTCGCAGGATTGGGGGTGCGGCAGCGCATGCGCGGTGTGACGGTCGATTGCTGGATAACAACACCGCCACATGCGATTACCACGTGCTCATTCCATTGAAAAGTCTTCATCTATGAGCAGTTGTCGATATTATTGGATTTTATAAAACAATAGATATACCTTTATTGGCATAAGAATACCAGTTATGAAATCAAATTGCATTTGCTAATGTATCGGATGCATGTCGACACATGACTGTACTGTACTTACTTACCTTAAAAGTATTTCCGCTAATAGTCCTCTAGCCGCATCAATCGTCGTCTCGGGTCAGGTCGATGAACCAAACGTCACTTCCTTTAGCTATTCAAAACCATTGATTTCACTAGCATAGAGACGATAAAACATCGTGGGTATTGATACGAGTATAAGTAGGTGCTGTTTATACTGTGCCAATATTACTTACTAACATTCTCCCTGAACAAGCCACAAATTCTCATAATTTTTTGTAATACATAGGTATTGCTGTATATAACTTTACATATTTTAATAATAATTAATATATGAGTGTTAGATAAATGCTCCTGATAAAAATATGATATCTGTAATGGTACACGTTAATTATTTTGCAAGGAAAATTTTAATTTATAAAATGTGTATTGTTCATGTACGAGTATAACGAATTACGGATATCTTAAAGAAGAATTGAGAATCTAGCTTGTGTAAGTATTTATACGTAGGTATTTCTTTGTTGACCTTGACAGAGAACTGGCAGTGAGCAATGCATTTTCAACCCTCGAGGCGGGTAGACGTGTAGCAATATTCCAGAGATTCATTGGGGTCGGTGGCGAGTGTCGAGTAGCGATGGCGGCGTCGAGTGCGGGGTGTCGTGCGACTCCGCCCGCGCGTCTCGTCTGCTTCACTTGAGCTGTCAAACCGCCTCCGACGGGCACCCGGCTTGAACGCTCCTACTTCAATCGCTGCAACTCGCGATCGTATCGTAGTGCGTACTCAGTGACTCACAATCTGTGCGTGATTTTGTAATATCGTATGACGGAATTGACTCGAAGGAGATGAACGGCAGTACGACGACGGTGAATAGTGGCGCCGTCAATAGTTCCAATGGAGCCCTCAATGGTATTGGTGCTGCTCCACGTACGGCTACACTCGGAACTCCTAGCAGTTACGCGTATACTTCCAGCGGTTCGCTGCTTGGCCGCGGAGGTTCCGCCAGGCCTGTTCCACCGCCAACTTTGCCTAAATATAGCGGATCATTCAGTGCAGGTAGCACGACAGGTCTGCGAGAACGGGATAGAGAGGGTACAGGGGGTTCACATCGCTTAGCTAGTTTGGAAAGATTGGCTTTACGGCAGAGAATTATCGAACAAAGTTCAAACAATCAGGTGTCGAATTTGACATCCCTTAATAACAACACCGGCGCAAGCAATAGTGGACCCACCTCTGCTACCGTCACCCTCACTGACACGGCTACGGTGAGTCCCCTTGCGGTACGTCTTGTACACCCTCGAACTTTTCCCCTAATCGTAGCTAACGCACCCCGAAATAGGGAGATATCGTTATTTTAACGCGGACAACCCCTTGTTACTTATGGGTTTTAATGTTTTTATACTTGTCGCTGTATCTGTAGAATGCCCCATAGTTTGAAGCTCTACAAGTGTGACACCGATGACACACTAATGTGGTTTCTAATATACGTTGTACGTATTTTAAAGAATTATTCGTCATATAATAATTAAAATGGAATGAATGGAATACCTGCGATATTTAATATTTTACTTTTAATTTTTTAAAAGACATAAGTATCTATAAAAAAGAACTGTTAAATTAAAATGAAAGAATTACCGTTATTTCGTGCCTAGCCGTTTCACGGACGGATACAGTAGTTTCATTTAATATGCAAAAATTGACTAAATCCTGTCTATTGCGTTTGTTGATTACCACGTTATCCTCAAGATGTTATTAGATATTAAATGTACCTTTTTAACTAAAAATAATTTTAATTATATTATACCTATCAAGTATTATAGGAATCTAAATATCAAACATTTGTAAGACATCAAGACAGGAGTTTAAGAAAAAGATAGTTTGAACCTTAATCGTTTATGTTTAGATCGTATATTAGAATTGCAGTTTTATATATTACAATTTTTTTTGTTTAGAATGTTTATTTTTATAAAGCTTACAAGAACTCTGACTCACATTTCCTAGAATATAAATCATTGTTTGAATAATTACGCAATCGAATTTATAACGTGCTTTATACATAAGTTCATAATTTTTATTAAATTCTTACATAAAACTAAGTCACGTCTTATTTATAAAAACGTCAAACCTCATTCTGTTTTAGCTATTGAACTGTTTTGTTTTTTCATATTGCGCTAAATTCCCAGTTTAAGAGAAAGCGACAAAACGCTGTAATAGTTAAATTAGATTTGCAAAGTTTTTACAAATAAGGTGGTTAATGTACATAATTATTATTCTTATTTAACAATTATAATTAAGAAATTATTTTATCAACCGATTTCAAAAAGAAGGAAGTTCTCATCTCGTTTTCAAAAATTCTTTTTATCTGAAAGGAAGTGTTCCATAGAAGATTGTATCAAAATCAGTTCGGTACTTTAATTTTTAAATTAAAATAACTGGTTCGGCCACAATTGAAGTCTGTTTTTTTTTTTGTGGAATACAATTTAATTATTGTGATCGTTATTATTACGTGTTAAATAAGATATCATCCGAATTGACATTTTCCTAGGTTATTCCTACCTTTTATGCCTTGTATTCGCTAGGCACTTTTATGCCAACAATCACCATTATTGCACAATAAACAAGAATCGTTCGTGACCAGCGTTTCTTTACTGTGCTTACGTTTTTTATGTTTAATCTTATTCCCTCCTAAGGAAGAACAAGGCTGGTATGGCATCTCACCATATTCCCACGCAGTTCCTTATGTGATAGGACTGGTTCGGAGTGCGGGAGGGGTGAGCGGGTGACTGACCCCATGTCTACAGGGTTAAAAATAAACTCCTACAGCGGCGGGCATTCTGCTCGCATGTGTCGAATTCACTAAACAGACATTAACTGTTTCACGGTCACACCCTGACCTGATCATTCTCGAAACATTGAACCAGCCCTAATATTGTTGAATTATCGTGTAAAATCTTTATATCAAATATCTTCAAATTTCAGTAGGTAGGTATATTAAATACAAATATTTTCCAATGTTTACAAATTTACTAAAGTAGATGAAAATATGGAACAAATGTGTTATGCAAGTTAATGTAAGTCACGTCAGAAATCGCATTGATAAATAAAATGTTGAAGTCGTTACATGTAGAAAATGTTTTTTGATACATTATACGAGTATATAGGTATACATTATTTATCTAAAAACAAAAAGTGTGCTTGTACGCGACCTCCAAACGAAGCTTTAAATATAACGTGATCAAGATAAAACCTTTAAAGCTTAAGGTAACAGATTGGATACATTCCTATATAATATTTAAGTAACATCGGGTGTTTTATATTCTGCTATCTATCTATCTAGGCTCTATAAACATACCTAATTACCACAGCATATTCTCAACAATATTGCATCAAAAACGCAAATACTTTTTTATTGATATCTCCGAATCATGTAATGTGATTGTTATTTATTGGTTATTCTCCAGAAAACATAGGTTCCTCATACAAGTAAGCTTCTCGTACATTTTGTAATGTGTATGCCATTAATGATGCACGCTTTTGCAATTGTTCAAATATTTGTGAATCTGTATAATTACAATAGCTATCATTTATTTTTCTGCCGATAATAGTCTTGTCTATGTGTTCGTCTTCTCTTAAATATCATTCTTTTCTGCTTTGCTCAATCTTTTCTCTTTTTAACTTTAATAATATGTTTCTATTAATCTGCCATATTCTTGTTTGATAAATGCATCTTATGTTTAGGGGGAAAATATTTGATTATTATTGTAGAAAATATATTTGTTTTCTTATGATTTTAGTATCTTATATTTTTTATATGCACTTTCAATCGTCTTTGATATAGTCAAGGCTATTTGTGACACAGGCGAGTTGTTTAATATGGGTTTTAAAAACTTATCTGAAGGTTTCTTTATCAACTTTACGTTGATATAACCATTCTCATGGAATGCACGTTATCGGTTGTTTAACTTTATCTTATATTTACATAAATACATCTATTTTGTATATAGAAAGATATATAAATATATATTTTTTTTTTGCTATAAAATGATGCGTGATTATTGAGTTTTGTACGTATAACAATGAATTTCACTACTCTTATTTTATAAATTATTAAACCTGATTTTACTAAATCTTGTCGTTCTTTGAATTGTTTTTGTCTGATTGTTTACTTAAGTGTTTAATTGTAAGTTGAATTTTTTTAAAACATAAGTATTGCTTCAAGTTTCAACTGGCAAAAGCGGTCAGGGCACGTTCTTTTCTCGCATTGTTTACAAAAAGCTAACCGCACTCGGGCAACGATCAATTTTCGTCTTTTATGCAATCGTATTATGTTCGAGTTTTCCCTTCCTTTTATGGTTTGTCTTATTTGGAACGAATGCGACTCCGACCGGCCCTTGCTTTTGTGTGTCTGGTGCCCATAAGTGTGACGAGCTGGATCCTTTTACGTCTATACGTAGATATATCCATAATTAACTCGTACCTGACTTGGAGGAGACTTGTTCACACAAGTTGCTTTTATAACCAATACACTATTTTAAGATAGGATCAAATAATGTTTTAAAATATATATCAAATGTGAAAAATCGTAATTATGACCTTTCAACTATATGTTGTCATAGTCGTAGAATACTGACAGATCTGACGAAGATTACATATAAAGATCCGTCACTATTCTACGACTATGACGATGTTTAGTATTCACCTCTAGTAATTTTTTTCACTGTTTTTCTATACTTAATTATAATTAGGAACCAGTATTTAAGCGATTTATGAGTTTACTATGATAAATTAGGTTCTTGTTAAAATTCTGTACAAATAACTATGTACCTAGGTATCTATATTGTAATAAATGTATACCAAGAATTTAATAATAACCACGTGATAGAGGTAACTGATAAATTGTGTTACCGTACATTTTCGACCCGTGTGTTCGTTTACGACGCGCCTTCCTGCCCCGCCGCACACAGCCGGCAGCCGGTATCGCCAGTAACTTAACCTCAAACTGACGGTCGTGAATGGTGCTTCATATTACAACTGCTTATTTGTCTTGAACTATCATTGGAATCGTATACACCAATAGTGTTCTAATTGTTTATTACCTACTTTTCTTACAATAAAGTCAATATCCGGGGACGTAGTTATACATAAATGCATCGTTCGAAGTAAATGTCGTTTACGCGGTGTGCATGTGTAGTGTTTGATGTTTTATATGCTCAGCAAGTAACCAAAGTTATGTGTCTGAGAAACATGTGAAATGTGTGATCTTAGAATTTAGCTTCGTCTGTTTTTTTTTCTTCTATTGTTGTCGTGTTTGAATGCCAACAGAATGGCAAATCGTGGTTTTAATAGCGGAGTCGTACACACAAAGATAACTAGATGTTCTAGTAATGTAAGCGACGTCGCCAGTGATAAAGCTAAAGTTGGATGGACAAGTCCTCGCGATATCTGGAGGAATTTATCACTACGAAGGAAAGCCGAGGTGATTATATGTGATATTAATAGAAGCGCAATAAATAGATAAGGTTAATGAACGGATGGAGTTATTAGTTGCAGTGGCGGTAGGAAGTTATTGATTTTACGTTTTACATCACTATCGTGAACTGCATTGTGGCCACAATACATAGATTGTCCTCATATAGGTTGCTTGTATACCGTTAACAGAATAATACCTACCTGTTTATACGTAGTATATTTTATTTATCTTATTTAGTGTTACAATTGATATTGCTTTATTATGTATTATTACTTTTAATATTATAAGTTTATCTATTATTTGCCAATATCTGGGGTTAAAAAGCAATATATGATACATTTTTTATAAGTAACACCTATATCAATCTCTAGCCTTGCAACACCGTAGGTATTGCATTCACGCTTACACAACTAAGTAGGTAACTTATTCTACAATCCTAGAATTTCAATAGGCGTGGGAATATCAGAGCATGCATTGTTTTCTTGATTTTTAAACACGTACTGTGATCTACAAGTTTTATATATATAAAATTAAAATAGCTCATAACTACAATTCCTAAAGAAGTAGTATTCACTACAACAGGGATATTGCTTTAGTGAATGTAAGTACTTAACACTCAATGTCAGGGATGTTATCGATGTTTTTTATGTCCGGAGAGATAGTTCAAATTTTAAATATATGTAAAAACTATTTCGTCTACATTTTTCTTAAGAAACTTCAACTCTGTCGAGATAGTAGACTACTAGACCACAATGATCTGTTTATTAAGTATCAGTCATCTGCATATATATATATTCGTTTATTGTTGTT